GCTCTCCTGGAGCCCCTTTAGGCCCTGCAAGGGGCTCTCAGCTCTCCTCTGATCAGTTATAGTGTCCTCAGAGGCCTCAAGCTGTTCCAGGTGAGGTCTAAGTTGGATATTGGGAAAATTCCATCCTGGAAAGGGTGGTTAAACATTGGAAGGGGCTGCCCAGGGCAGTGGTGGTGTCCCCATCCCTGGAGGGATTTAAAATCCCTGTGGATGTGGCACTTGGGGGTGTGGATTTGTGGTGGCTGTGGCAGTGCTGGGGGACAGCTGGGACTCTGTGACCTCGGAGTTCTTTTCCAAGGCAAATGATTCCACGATTCCAGTCGTGGATTTGAGGTTTTGCCATTCTCACCTCGCTGTCAAGAAGGAATTATCCCATGGTGAGATATCCAGAGTTCCCTTCTGCAAAGGGGAGGGATCATCCCTGCTGGGAATACACAGGAGCTGTTGGAGTTGGAGCCCACCATGCCCAATTCCCATTCCCTGTCCTTTTCCTTGCTTTCAAAGGATATATAAAGGATATCTAAAAGGAAATATCCAGAGAGGGATGTGGTTGAGGGATCCACGTCCATCCCCAGGTTTGTGGGGAGCAGAAGGACACAACCCCCATCCCAAGTGGGATTTGGCTGCATATTCCAACATCTCCACAGGAGAGATGAGCTTTGGCTGCTCCAAACTCCTTTCCCAAAGAACTTAATAGGGATTGACTCTCTGGAAAGACCCGAGGTGTTTTGTGCCCCCTCCCTGCTGTGCTGTAATTAATGGGCTCCTTTCCTGTCATTCCCATTCCTTTTCCAGCCCTTGCTCCATCACACTCTGCTCCATCAGCACTGACAATTCCAGCCCTTGGGCACCAACTGCACCTGGAGTCCTTGGGAATGAAAAAACAAAGGAATGAGTTGTTTGTCTCAGGCTTTGCCCGAGTGGGAAACGACAAATCCTGATTTTTTTTTGGGATGTGTTTTCCTATCCCGGCCCCATCCCAGGATTTGTGTTTCCCTGGAGCTGGCAGCTCTCTCTCAGAGAGCTGGGTGTTGGGGTGGGATTTGGGGAAAGGATCAGGAGCAGGGTGAGGATTATCCTGTGGGAAAGGAGGGATTTTTGAACCTGGAGCTGGAAGCCTCCTCCCTCATAGCACTTGGGATGTGGGAATACAGACAACACTGGGATACAGCACCCAGTTCTCCTGCTCCAAAGAGGTGTCTCCTCCTCTGTGTTGTCTCCTCTGTCTGACTTCCCTGTGGAAAAGCCACATATCCATCATTTTGGGTTGATTCCTGGTCTTTTGCTGATCCAGGTGTGGGAGCGACTGGGAAGTGGGAATGGCTGGAGCTGCTTAAACCACCATTTCCCCCAATATAATTTAAACCAGGATGATTCCAGAGGCAGCTGCTCCAGGAGGTACCAATATCCCCATTTCCCTCCCTCCCACCATCCCAATGGAAATCCACAGGGATGGAGGGGCTGGAGCTGCCAGGGGCAATCACATCAAGACAAACTCCCATATCCAAGAGTTCCCATCCCAAGGGTGTGGATATGAGCTCACTGACCCGTGGCCAGTCCAGCTGGCTCCCTGGCACACTTATCCTTGGATCATTTTCCTCCCCTGGGGTTGATTCCTTAAGCTTTTGCCGCTTCCTATATCCGTAGCCTGAGGGAGGAGAGCTGGGAAGGTGGAATGAGAGGAGGTGGAATTCAGCAGGAATTTTCTGCTGCTGGTAAAGGATGGAGTTTTTTTAAATTGGATTTTTTTTTTTTAAAAGCCAATCCATTCAAAAATCCCCCCAAAATTCCCAGCCTGTGTTTCCATCAGCTCAGGGCTCAGAAGAGCCAAAACCTGGGAGGGTGGGATTGGGATTTCAAGGAGCATCTGAAGGTTGTTCCTGGTAACACACATTTCCCGGGAGCCCTTTTCCCATCTCCTGATGGAGCAGCTCCAGGCTTGCTTTAATATTATTATTATTATTATTATTGTTATTTTCCTTAATATATTCCATTTGTTTTACAAAATGACCTGCAGGGAAAACCACTACCACCACCAACAAAAAAAGCCAAATCAAGGCTGTGTGATGGGAAATGTTTAAAAAATGGGAATGAACCAGGAATATTTCAGGGCAGGGTGTTCAAATCCTCCCCCTGCTGTTGTTTTTCCCACTGAGCCGGTACCTGGGTTTAAGGATTCTTCCTTAGGATGATGGGATGGGAGTGGCTGAGGAGGGGTGGAAATGCCACCCCAGCTCTTCCCCCAGCTCCCTGCTTTGTGTCCCTTCTGCTTCTCCCCGGATTTCCCTTCGGGAATCGACAAATCCTTGGGAGAAAAGGCTCTTTGTGCCGGTTTAATTCGGTTCCATCTGCTGCAGGTAGAGCCAAACAGCGCCTGTGTCGTATCTTTTCCCTGCTTTATCTCCCGTTTCCCTGGGAGATCCAGGAAAGGAAAGGCTTTTTTAATTGCAGCCAAAAGAACCAAGTGAAAAACTCCCAATTCCCAGCCTCTCGGAGCCCTTTCCCTGATCCACGACCGAGCCAGAAGGGTCAAGAACCCTGATCACCGGTGAGGGGTGGGTGCCGTGAGAACGCCGCTGATCCGTGTATTCCCTCTCTCTCCCAGCCATGCACGGCTGTTCCCAGGTCGTGGAGCTGCTCCTGGAGCGGTAAGCAGCCTCTTCCCAGCTTTTTCCTCCCCCTCCTCCCACCCTCTGCCAGGCTGGGGGGGGACACAAAGGCCGCTTGTGCCGCTTCCACTGGGGAAGCAGCCGCGATCCCGGCGCTCTCTCCCCGCGCTCCAGGTTTTTCCCGGCTGGCTTTGGGGGGGGAGGGTGGGCTCGGGGACAAGGGCTCTCCCTGGATGTGCTGCCACGGCTGTGACACAACCCCCAGTTATGTAACCCGGCCTTTCTTTTCCCTGCTGATTCATTCCCGAGGCCGGATGGGCAACAACAACGCGGCGGATTTCTGGCGGCTCAGTGCCGGGGGTGCAGCTTTGCTAGGCTGGGCTTATCTTTTGTTTTTGGGCTGTGGAGTGGCTTTAAATCAGCCCAGTCATGCCTGACGCTGTTCCCTTTCCCTGGGAATTGCAGCTAAGCCCAGCCTTGTTAATACCTGGCCGTGCTTGGCCCAGCTCTGTGGTTTGAGCCAGGCTTAATTCAGCTTTAATTCAGTTTTCTCTTCTCAATGAGATCTCTGGGCTCTGATTTTTCCACATCATTATACATGAGGATCCGAGCTTTTTCCCTGCTTCCAGGGCACACTTGGAGACCCTCTGGGCATGGAGGAAAGGGAATTATAAATCATCTGCAGAAGCCTGGCTTGCCCAAATCTCTGACCCCAGAAAAACCCCCCAGGCCCTAAAACACCGAGACAGGTTTATCCAGCAGGGTTTATATGTTCCATTTTTGATCCCAGTGTTGATGGCCTCTTTCCATGAGGATTTTATTGCTGCCAACAGCTCTGTCCTTGCTTTTTTATTCCTCTCCCAGGTGCCACTACCGACCTGACAGCAGGGACAGGTGTGGAGTCACTCCCTTCATGGATGCAATCCAGAACGGGCACCTCGACATCGCCCGGATGCTCCTGGAAAAACACCAGGTAGGTGCCCAAAAAAAGCCCTCTCCTGCCCCTTCCAGGAGCTGCCAGGACAGGGAAGAAGGAAAATTTGTGTCACAAAGAAGAAAATTCCCAGATTGTAAAGAAAAGGGATTGTATAAAAAGGGAGATTGCCCTTGGAGGTGAGCAAGGTCACCAGGACTCAGCTCCGGGTGAGGATCTCACCCTGGGGCAGGAATCGTGGAATCCTGGGATGGTTTGGGTTGGAGAGACCTTAAAGATCATCCAGGTCCAAGCCCAACACGTTCCACTCTCCCAGGTTGCTCCAGCCTGGCCTTGGACACTCCCAGGGATCCAGGGGCAGCCACAGCTTCTCTGGGCAACAAGCTTTGCCCCTTGGGTGCTGCCCAGCACAGAGGGAAGGGGCCAGAGGTTGCCTGAAATTCCTGTTGGGATCTCCAAATGTCCAAGCCCAGGAGATCTTGAAAGGCTTCTCTGAAGCCTTTTGGGCTTTGCTGGGTATCCAAATGACTAAAAACCATGTTTAGTGTCTTGACATGTCCCCCAGCACTGCTCAGGCACTGAGAGAAATATAAATCCATGGAATCTCTGCTCCTGGCAGGGGAGGAACTCCTGCACTGGGCAGAGCCAGGGATCAAATCCTCTCTGTGCAAACAGGGAGAACAAAGAGGCCCCAGTTCCTTTGGATTTGTCACCAGAGGGAAAAAACAGTTTGAGAGTCAATTCTTAGAGCTGAGGAACAAACACCCCTGAGCTGGGAGAGATGGGAGATCATGGAATGGTTTGGGATGGAAGGGAATTTAAAGATCATCCAGTTCCAACCCCAACACCTTCCACTATCCCAGGCTGCTCCAACCTGGCCTTGGACACTTCCAGGGATCCAGGGGCAGCCACAGATGCTCTGCCAGCCCCCTGCATTAATTATTGATCATTTATTTATGGTAGGAGCCAGCCCCCTGCATTATTTATTGATCATTTATTGATTGCTGAGCCATCTGAGCCGGCTGGGGCCCCCTCAGGGCTCATTCCCACGGGATTGGGATGTTCCCTGATGGTTTCAGTCTCACATTTCGGGCTCTGAAGGTGGGAGAGTTGGTTTAATTCCCTCAGTTAACCTTGGCCATGGA